TAATAACGTACCTTGCTGCCGTAAATCTCGAAATAACTAGCAGATATGAGAAGATCCTTGTTTTTGTGTTTGGTGGATTTGTTCAATTTAAACACATCCGTTGCTGTAAGACAAAATTAATGTGATTGAAAATCGATCGTGTTTTAAAACTCTACTCAGTTTAAACAAGTCTACGTTTTCAAGTTTGCAACAACTTAGCATGCGTTTAAAATTTGGCATTTCATTTTCTTTCTATCGATTAATTCAGTTTTTGGTAGAAACAATTTTATTGACATTTACTTTTGATAAGACTACAGATAATGATTCTTAAATCTGTTACTATAGGGAAATATCTGCTAACGAGAAAATCAACTTAGAAAGGGACTAAACAAGTGTCTTCACAACTTACCAATAAAGAAACTTCTAAAGTACACGAGCTGAATGGTCTTTTAGAAGAAAATACGAGTCTTGCAGAATATTCATGAGAAAAAATTTACGGAACTGCTGCCTCGAATTTCTGTTGCACAAACTCTCGGCTTTTTCATTTCCTATCCCTGAAGTATACTTTTCTTGAGTATTTTAACAGTTAGTTAGACCAACCTGCCAGTGCATAAATTCCTTTAGTACAATCCTGTTGCTTCCCACTGAATGTACCACCCATGGTCTGTAATCACACACGAACAATATATTTTACAAATTGACGTCAGTTTCTCATGCGTCTGTCCTATTATTGATCACGAATTTCGCCACAACATTGTCAAAGTAGCTGTGGATCCGCAGACTACCTTGACAATTTTATGACGAAATTCATAGTCAATAACAGGTCGGACGCATGAAAAACTGAAGTCAATTTGGTTTTTATGATAACAAATTGTCAAATTGTCCACTCTCACTCGTTGACACATCACATTACTAATAAATTCATATGTCTGTCGGCATGTTGACAATGAAAATTAGCCAATGAGCCAGCGAGAATTCTGTAGTTATCATAAAAAAGTACATTGTCGAAATCGAAATATGGCACAATTTCACACAGAACTCGACTACACTAACAGCTTGAACTCCATCTGATGACCATATCGTTACTACAGTCACATTCTTCTTGTTGTTGTTCCTTTGTTAAACCCTTAATAGCATAAATGTTTGCTCTTGATATTGTCATGTGTAAAATTTAATGATAATTTTTAATAATTTTTATAGCACTATTTACATATGCTGATCAATAGCACTTTAGCTAAATAGGAAAAAAATATAATAATTTATAACATGCTACTTACGTGAGTTTTTCCACTGCCTGTCTGGCCGTATGCAAAGCATGTTGCCATTCCCTGGTTAAAAATTGTGTCAACAAGTGGCTTTGCTGTATATCTGAGACATAATACAAAGTGATAACAGTGTTAGTCAGAACGATTCAAATTTCAAATAAAACAGAAAAGTTAGAATTTGTCAGGGATCTAATGGCCTCACCTGTATACCAATTCATTATTTGCATTCTCATCAAAGGCATAATCAAACCTGTAAAGAAATAACAGAATAGTGTTTTCATTTAAACTTTTTCTCACCTTATGTAAGATGGTACAAAGTAGAAACTACCAACTAGTTATAAATATTAGTTTTAAGGACACTTTATTGTTACCAACTGAAAGTACTGAATGAATGCCGTCCATTAGAAATAAAAAGCCATTATGATAGCATAAGATTTTGTTATGGAAAGGTCATTATATTTCACACAAACTAACCAAAATTTGTGATTCTCCAGATACTTTGTGAGGTCCACTTTCAATTTAGGCTCATGGATCTAAAACAAAATGGTACCACAAAATAATCAGTTACCAGGAAACCACAGACTTAAATTGAAAACAATTTAACTATATATAACTGACACTTTCCAAGATAATTATCGCCCCCAGCCCAGTTACTTACCACACAGTAATCACCCTTTGGTACTATGATGACATCAATTTCCTTTTTATTGAGTTCTGTACAAAAACAAAATCAAAACAATTTACATGCTAGAGTGGTTTTCATTTGAGTGTCGAAAAGTGATTGGTTTTGCTTCATCTATGCTACACAATTAGCTTATTTAAAACTTGCACCACTTTTTCATCCAATCAGAAGTAAAACCAAAACCAATCGTGACTTGCTCACACTTGTTTTCCTGTGCTTTGCATCAGCTACATGTAATTAGTGCGAGTTTTGATTGGTGAATTGGATTGTCTGTGCATGTCATTTGTGATTGGTTAGAGTCATTAGTGTGATTTTGGTTTTACGACACTCAATTGAAAACCGCTCTACTGCAATTACATAACTCAAGATCCTTATTAAAATCAGTGGGTTTTTGCTGCTGCCCTCATCACCAAAACAAAGAACAACAAATATGGAATTGCAATACTTGGATTGAACGAACTATCTGATATAAGGTTGGAATGATCAATAATAAACAGACAAGTATAAACACGTACCTTTCTTGGACAGTGGTCGTTTACGGACACATACACAAATCTGGTGGTCTATCACCTAATCAAAAAACAAAATGTACATGAAAAATGTAAGTTAAAAATTAAAATTAATAATTTATTTAAGAGTTGGTATACACTTTACAAATGATCATAGGAGATCAATTTCAGGATTCAATGAAGTGAACAGATTCACGGCAGACCACGCCGTCAGGATGTTCAGGAAATTACAACATGAAATACTTACCGGGTCCGACATTGTCAGCCCTTTAAAATCTAAATCTGCTTGATACTCCCTATAAATTGAAATAAAAAAAAATATTATTTAATTATAAAAAAATTTTTTACAATAAGTAACTTTTACATTTCAATGTCCTGTAGGCAGTCTGAGTATTCATTAGATCAAGCAAAACTATTAAAACCACAGTTTAACCACAAAGACTGATATTAAACTATCCACAATCATAACATACCTTATCATTTGTATAAATTCCCAGTTTGGATTTCCAGGATCCACTTCTTGTTGAAGACGCAGTTTCATTTCCCTTTGCTCTTGTTGTTGCGCCCTGTGGATACCATAAACAGGTCATCGCACAAGTCAATGATTTCAAGAGCACTTACAAGTCTAGTTATTAAGCAATCCTGCACAGCTGCTAATTTAAGAACAAGATACCGATCACAAACAAATTTTTTACTGAACATTATTTTAACATTTTGCTCATAACAACAGTGTTTACCTTCTTTCTTCTCGATTCTTTTTTAAACGCTCAATTTCCTTTACACAATTAGAGCGTCTTCTGTTCACTGGAAAAAAAAAATAAAAAAGATAACAAGGCCCAGTAAATTTAACATAGTACAAAGCACTGAAACTGTCACATGGAGGCCGCTGAAGTGATGAAATTTTACTGCTGTAGTAATTCCAACAATGATATGAAGACCTTCCAAAACTGGACATGAAAAGGTTTAAAATTCAGTCAGGAATCTGTATACAATGTAACTCCTCTACTAATAGGTCATCGGCAAGATGAATGCTTGTAATTAAAAGCCACACAAATAATTAATGCAAATAAATCATTGATGTACATGCAGATTTTCAGTAGCAATGAAGTAAGCGACACACACTAAAAGTGAACATGTAGTACATCTCTTCCTCTCAAACAGAAAAAAAAAACTTTCAAGAACTGGAAGTACAATGTACATATACATGCCATTTACTGACCTGTAGCAGATAAACTGAACATTCATTACCTGGATAAGACTCTGCGCTCTCCTTTATTTGTGCAGCGTCCCCACGTGAGTCACCATCATCATCATTAGCAAGGTTGAGTGCCACGGGACGTTCAACTTTGGCTGCAAGCCAGTAAATGAGTCATCACTGACAAGGTTATTACAAACAGTTGAAAATTGTTTATTAATTTGCTTTAAATACATGTAAGTTTGAGATAACATGAAAAAACAACAACCTGATGGTGGATGAACTTTAGGTGAAGGAGCACTGTGATTTTCATTTCTTGCATTCTAAAGAACAGGAAAGGAAAAAAGTTACAAAGTTCAGTGGGGCTTCAAAACAAAGTTTTAATTTGTTACATGGTGTTTGTTTCAAGAGTCTCGCCAGAGTATTGCACCTGAGTCAACTAACTTCTCTTGAGTCGTCTTCTTGCTTATTGGCTTACATTTCATGAAGATAGGTACAAAATACTATACACACATCAAGTTAATTACCTCCATGCTACTGGGGATTCTTCATGATGGTGTATACTTACATGTAATATAATTGAAAAATATTAACTTCAGATCTATATTCATTTGGCAATGTAGCTCTTAATCAACCAATTGAAAAAAATATTTAATGCTTCTTTGGTTAATAATTATTAACAACTAATTTCAACATACCTTGTTAGTTGGTGTAGTAGATATCCTTTTATTTGATGGAGTGGGTTTTTGTTTTGGCTGAACTACAAGAGTTGGATTAAGTGCAAAGATCTGGTCGACTTCAATCTGCATTAAACAAACAAAATACAGCATTGATCACACGTACTTTAATGTCTTAATGTTCAATATCAGTGCTTATCCACGTGAAAGAAAATTGAAGCTACATCAGCCATAGCTGGTTGCATTCATATACTAGGCTCTCCATATCATCTAGATCACTAAACTGGAATTTAGTAAATATTATGCTGGTGTTGCTATGGGAGGAAAATTAGCCCTATTGAAATGAATTATTTTTTTACCTCTTTCCCTTTGGTTTCTCCATTCTCATACCACTCTACTGTAACACTCTTGGTGTCCAGGTTTACGCCACTAATCATAGATGAGTGGATACGGCCTACATGCACAATGAAAAAGTTAATTTACAGTAAAATAATCATATTATTTTTAATAATAAGTACTTATTAACCAAGAGTGAGGTCATTATGGGAAAATCTCAAACCGAGACCTTGCCGTATTGACTGAGTGATAGCGAGATCAATACAACAAGGCCAAGGTTTGTGATTTTCCCATAAACACTGAACGTGTGAGGTTAATAAGTTGTTTATTACATGGCTTTTTGCTTTGGTTTTGCAGTCCTATAATCGGCCTCTGGGCATTTCGGGAGAATAATTCCCCAGAATTGGCCAAACTGAGCGTGCGTTAGATCAGCTACAAACACAAGCCATATAATAAATTATTCTATTTCATGTCTCAAGCTTGAAAATGTCCAGCTGACCTTTCCAAGTTTGAGATACATATGCCACACTATCATGATATTGCCTCTTTAAAAATTGCATTTCCGATGGCCTCATCTCCATAACTCTGCCCGAATACTGATAAAAATAATCAACAAAAGGAATAAACCTCGATTCCAGTAAAATTAATATATCTCAGAGCAACATGACAAAGCCAAACAAACATGATAAGATATGGTTTAGATAAGATCTCGTTCAGTTTGCGGACTTCATTTATAACTGATGCAATAAATATGACAAACAAAGTAAAAGATCGATACAATGTAAATAAATTAAGCCACATGTGGCTGAATGTAAAATCCATTTGATAGGAAAGAGGTTTGACTCACATTTGTCTCATAATAGGCAATATTAAATCTTAAAAATTGAAATCAAGAGGCTTTGTTTCTTAGTCTATTTAGAGTGATGACTTTGACAGAATTTAAAAGATATTCCAAATCTGAATGAAGGCCTATCATCGTCTAACTATTGTACGCCTTAATGAATGCACACATGTCTATTTTATTGCGACTGCTTGTCCTAAAGTAGTTAATATTTCGTACGTCTGGGCGATAATTTAAGTTCGAAACCTCGCCAAGATTTACAACTTGTCTGACACATCAAATCTACGTTTTAAACAAAATAATTAAAGTCCCGTAACTAGGGAACTAAGTAAAAGATATTTGATGTTTATACGGAAGACCGACCGGCGGACATCGACGATCAACAAATTATTTCAGTTACTCCCACCCGAGCCTTGTCACAACTGAATATGACAAAGCTCTGAACGAAATCAACGTAGTTAGACTTAATCTTCTCACAGAAGAAATACGCAGTCATGGGTCTACATTAAAAAAAAGAGTCTTGGTGAAGGACAAAAACTTGTTGCAAATATATCTGAGATACATTGAGTAAGACTTCACCTACCGTCGGTTCGTTGGATGTCAACTTTGATCCCCACAACAAGTTTACTATATTTATCCATGGTGGTCTTAGACCTGCGTTGTTCAATCCCAAGTAAATTTATTATCTGTGGTAAAGGGATCTGGGGTCCTTGAGTAATTCATTCGTTTCCGTATTTAGATTTTCCGCTCAAAATCCTAAATTCTCGACAAGTTCAAAAATTTACATTTAGATTAGCAACTGAGCCTACTCCTCCTGCACAGCGGTACTGATTCACAAGTACGTACGTTGTATAATACAAATCATACCGTCCCTTCTAACCACGTTGTTTCCCACGCAAGTGCAAAGCTCTGAAAAACTCTTCAAGAAATTGAGAGATCACCAATTTCAGACAGGGCCTGTCTTCATGCAAATTCCTAACCCTTCTACTCGCGTTTAGTGACAGCCGCAGTGACGCGTGTCATGGTGTGGGAAACCAGCTTGCCTCAAATACACAAAACGAAAAGTGACGTATTGTTCTATTGTTCAGCCCTCTAAACTATCCGTCCTGATTCCCAAACTCTTAATAATTTACTAAACACAACAATTTCATTACACTTAACTAAAATTATAACACGTGCTGTCAGATGCTATTGGGATAATTAATTACTAACACAGGAGGTTGGCTGGAAAGAAATTAAAAACTCCATGTTTAATACACCCGCCACGTGCCTCTCAGACATACTCAAGACTCTTGAAAAGTCCAAACATTTTGCCACGCCCCGAGATCTAATTAGTTCAGCGACGGGTAAAAGAAACTGAGGTAAAGAAAGACCCCCCGC